CCCGAGTAAAAATAATTCATTAATTTTTCACTCAACTAAAATACCGCCAAATTAGCACCGTAAATTGTTCCAAAAAACGACGAAAAAAGGCCCGTTTGCAGGACTAAACCTCCGAAATAGCGCCGAAATAGCACTAAAATAGCACCGCATTTCAGTAAACCGCCAAAAAAGCACCGAAAAACCGCCGTTTTTCTACTAAAAGATCGTTAGAACAGTACTCTTCTCGCATGAAAAACCGCCAAAAAAGCACCGAAAAACCGCCGTTTTTCTACTAAAAGAGCGTTGGAACAGTACTCTTCTCGCATGAAATAACAAAAACTGATTAATTATTAATTAACTTTTATTTATGTTATAAAGTATTAAAGATTCTGAATATTGTAACAACTATCATTATTATTTGAACTATTATTACTATTGTTAATATTATGATTAATGTTATTATTACTTATTTTATTATTGCTATTTTCATAATAATTATGTGGCTGTGCATTATATTGTTGATGATACGGCTGATAATAATTTGGGTTCGGATAATTATAATATTCATGATAATTTGAATACTGCGGAGGTACATGATGTAGGTTAAATGGAACGCTGTATGGCGATGGATATGAAAAATTTAATTGATTAGGATCATTAGGTGCAGGATAAGTAAAATTTGGAGATGTATGTTTTAATGATGATGTTGGTGTTGGTTCTGATGATGATGTGGGTGCTAGTTCTGATGATGATGCTGGTGCTGGTTCTGATGATGACGGTGGTGATGGTTCTGATGATGACGGTGGTGCTAGTTCTGATGATGACGGTGGTACTCGTTCTAAAGATAACGGTGGTACTGGTTCAGATAATGACGGTGGTACTCGTTCTAAAGATGACGGTGGTACTGGTTCAGTTAATGATGGTGGTACTGGTTCTAAAGATGACAGTAGTACTGGTTCTGATGATGGTGGTGCTGGTTCTGATGACGATGTGGCTGGTTCTGATGACAGTGGTGCTGGTTCTGATGATGCTATTGATGATTGGGATGTAGGTAGTGACGGCGACGCAGAAACTGATGAATGAATTAATATGTAAATAACACGATAATTATGATAATTTATGCAATTTCATGAAACATTCTTCAATTAAAAACAACAAGGACAAAGCTGATTAATTGACTTATTTACTCTTATTTCTTTTAGAAGTTGATGCTAGTGTTGATGTTACCGCAGGTGATGAAGGTGCTGCTGGTGGTTGTGATGTAGTTGATAAAGTTCCTAGATAAAAATTAAATTTATCAATAATATGATTATGAGGTGCATCCATTGTGTAGATGAAATTATTAAACTTGGTAACTCACTCTTTCTTTTGTTATGTTTGTAGGATAATTTTTGATTTTTCTTGAATTTTTTACATACGTTAATAAGTCCGTGACCAACTCTCCAGGATCGGCGTCGTAGCTGCAGTTTCCTGTATTAGTATTCTACTATGATTCAAATACTAACCCACAGCCACGCTGGCTTCACCTGGCCGTTAGATGGCGTGGTCTCGTCTCGTCTCGTCTGTGATTTGCTACAGTTATCTATCCACCCAAAGCCAACCACCTTTTATCGCAAAATCTCTTGCTGCCTTTTATAAAATTAAATGTTTTCTCTCTATTACGCCTTCTGTTTGTTTAGGGACACCACTACAACTTTTTCTTAATTTTCGAACACCTTTTTACCACTTTTTAATGCACTTTTTCACAGACTGATTTGACACCCCTGTTCAACGAACCTAACCCTCTACCTCCAGCTCTACTGCATGAATAAGTTAGTGTTGAAATGTATAATATATAACCATTGGTTCATTAATACGACTTGATTATACCTGATGATGTTGATGGTTCTTCAGGATTATTTTGGTTATGAGACGCTCTTCTACCTGTTGTTCGTTGTCTGAAATTTTTCAAATGCAAAATTTTATATACGCTCTGACAAGAATGTCAAATAATTCTATTTTGAATATATAGCCTTTATTATTATAAAGATTTCATTGTACATGAACAATAATTATACAAAATTGATGTATCTAAATATATGAAACATTTAAAATTAAAAAACTCACCTTTCATTAAGTGTTAACTCCAAATCTCTTATTCTTTTTATTAACTCATATCTTCGACTTCGGCTGTAATCATTTAGTTTATTTGACTTGTTAATCTTTGGCATAATGAGTTTAATAATATTTTTACTTCACAGTGATTAAAATGCCTATACAAATCTTACTGTATTTAAAGTAAAATTACTCACTTTCAAAACTTTTAGTTAATTTCAAACTTATTACCACGGCAGAAATCGTACTATAGTCGAACTGAGAAGTGAGTTTCTCAGTTGGATTAACACTGTCAGCGTCCCCACTACCAATTTTTTACCCCTCCTGCTACGTTTTTCAGTACTGCGCAAGCGCATGAGCTGCTCGACTGACTGAAGAATTCTCTTCTCAGTTTAACTATAGTAATGTCGGAAAAACTGGCGCTGATTGGTGTTTAAACACGTAGTTTTATGAGAAGAGCACGTTTTTGTACTGACGGTGACCGCTTAAACTAATTTACGTCATAAGATTTGACATGTCCTTATAAAAATGAGGACAGCACCTGTCGCTTGTATTTCAAGAAACCCCGTATTCCAATTCAAGTAAATATTAGTTAGCTTCAGAATCTTGATTATTAAAAAATTATGAAATTTCTTAGGTAAATAAAAACAGTTGCAAAAAGAAAAGAGTAAAATAAGTTAGGATTAACTATTAGCGTCTTTTATTTTATGTTATTTTGACGAATTATTATATGTCGACATTCAATTTTTTTTTAAATTAAACTCGATATTATCAATTACGTTTATTATTTGAATTCAATGCATCATCGCACCTGTCGCACCCACAGCAAATAGGCAGAAAAAATGTTATTATTCAAAAGTTATCCTACTGACATTAAAGTTAGTATACGTAATAATGCCCTCTAAATTATGACCTTCTTTCGGAAATGTAATATTTAAATTTTCAAAAGTCTGAGAAGTATTGTACATTTAAAAGAGNTAGAACGCATTGAACCAACTCCTTATATGTTTTTATCATCTTTATTATTTAAAAATAAGTTAGCAGTTATTTGTAATCTTCCATCTAAATTTCTTTATATTATTTAGAAAGTTAAATAATGAGGCTTTATTAATACAATAGATCTTACAGGAGATGCTACATGTTAAATTTACGGGTGCGAAACATGGACAGTGGGCGCGGCGGAAAAGAAAAGCTTAGAAATCTTCGAAATGTGGTGTTATAGGCGAATGATGAGGATAACGTGGGTAGAAAAGGTTATAAATAAAGAGGTATTAGAAAGAATAGGAGAACTTTATGAAAGTCAATAAGAAATAGGCGAGATCGGTTGACAGGGCACCTTCTCAGGCATGAAGGTTTAGTCAGAGACATGTTAGAGGCAGAAACAGGAGTTAGGGGGGCTAGAGGCAGACCTAGGTTAGATTACTGTTTGCAAATAGTTAAGGATGTGGGTTGTTCTAGTTTTAGGGAAATGCGAAGTTTAGCTCAGGATAGGAAAGAGTAGATGTACGTGTCCAACTAGTCTTAGGACTGACGATATTATGATGATGACCCAAATGCATTGCAAGGCTGCGAGAGTTAATGTTTTTGCCAAGGCATCATACCTTGAAATGTTTCTTGCAGCAAGTACTACCCCGTCAAAATTTTTGGGATGCGATAAATCTTTAAGGTGCATAACATCATTATTACAAATTTTACGGAAATCTAATAGCAATCGCGAAAGTTTTGTCATTTGGTTACTGCAAACGTATGCAATTCTCTATGCGTTCTCTGTTGTGTTTTTTTAGGTATGAATCGCCTAAATTGGTTACTAGTAAATCTTTTTTTTTGCTTCTAAAGAAATTTAATCACCCTTCATTAAATCAAACACCTGAAGTTGGACAATTGTTTTTAAAATTAATAAATTATAAAAAATATTACGAATTACCTGTTTTTTGACATTCAATTGTGAAATTACGTTTGTAAGATCCGCTGCCCAAGCTATCAGTGTATGAGAAGAAGACACAAGATTTTTTCTTTTTCCTGTTATTACAGTATCATTAGAAGTGAATACAGTGCATGATTTCACATGACATATATCAAACAACCCTTCACAGTACACATATGAAATGTAGTCAGCATCTTCTTGTACATATTTGAAACGTTGTCGGTTGTGTCTAACCGTTCCTTTCAAATAGAAATTGGTACCATTCCTAAGTAAACCTAGCTTTTTGTACCTGGGATGCGGTAGGGAAAGCCCTAATTGGAAAAAATTCCAAATGAATTTTTATGTAATAACTGCATTTTCCGCTAGGCTGGTTGGAGGTTTTTTTTTGCCGATTTAATCCTTTTATGTCGAGGTCCATTCTAATCCCTTACATCATAAAGAGAAGATGCAATAGCATTATTAATGACATGATCCGGTAAATCATCATCTAGTTTTGAGAAAGTTTTGGTCAGCACGCCTGGAGAAAAAAAATTTTTATTACTTTTTTAAAAGTTTTGCAAAGAATTTTTTCAAATAGTACATTTATACTTACGTTTTACAACTCCATACCAAGTTGTATTTTTAAACATATAAGGTTTATTTTTACTTGGCGTTTTTAAGTTATACTACAGCCATCTCTAGTTACAAGCCGTGCTGAAGGTACACTTGACAACACTGTGGGAGTCCTAGGATTTCCTGGTTAATGAGAGTTTCTTTCATTGTTCTAATTTTAGTGGAAATATCGTGCAATAAATGTGCAATAAGGATACTTATAGTGTGTTTTAGTGATTAATATCTTTGAATACAGTTTTTAATTGTAGAAGGCAATATTAACTATTAACTGAATGAAGTGAAAGTGTTTTAGGTCAGATTGTGTGTTTTTCTTGTTTATTCTAACGTAATGCTTCGTCGTTGTTGTGTTCCCAGTTGCAATACAAATTATAAATCATCTTTAAAATGTGGTAAGTATGAGTGTATATTTTTATTCAAAAAAAATGATGAAATGCGAAAACAATGGATAAGTGCAATACCTCGCAAATATTGGACTCCATCAAAATATTCTGCAGTTTGCATACATCACTTTAACGAAAATAACACTATAAAAACAGGAAAAAAAGTATCCAAAATTACAAGAGAATGCAATTTCTTGTCGTTTCTCAAATTTACCTATCCTAATATTTTACGATACCAGAAATAAAGACTCGTAGAAAGCCTGAAGAACGCAGACAAAAAATATTAGAAAATCAAGTTGTTAAAATACAAAATTTTGAAAATGCTGATATCATAAAAGACTTTTCATAGTCAATTAATCATTATTCCAAAAATATTCAAATGTCTGAACGTTGGAATATTAAATTTCCAAAATCTAAAATGTGCTTTTATAATTTAAACATTGAAAATAAAATTTTGGTACTTAATTCTCAAATAATTATTGACGAAAGTAGGAAAGTAGACGTTATAATTAAAGATACAAAATTAGATTTCAATTACTTAAAGTGGTTGCTACCTATAGATATGAAATTTGCTGGCTAGATATGATTTCTATAGAAACGAAAGTTAAATTTAGAACATCATTTTCATAAATATTTGGATGTATGCTTGGAACAATTGAATCAGGCATTTATTATTGCAAATAACGAATAGTCGGAGTATTTTACTTTTGCTAAGAATCTTGAAAAATTACTTGATTAAATAAAACAAATTCGAAATAAAAAAGACAGATATTCATCAGCCACTATTATTATGTCATTTGCAATTTATTCTCAGTTTTTAATTTTACCAAATTTACCAAATATTTGGAACTTTTGTCCTCAAATTTGTAAATATCACCGCAGGATAACTGCAATAATGAGAAGTATTTAGGAAATATGTCATTCTTTATCAAGTAATGAAAAAGTTGTAATATCATTAATTTATGAAATTTACGTGGCTTCAAAATTAAATTGTAGGGCTGAAAATGTGGTGGGGTATACGTGTAATAAAAATGATTTGGCGAAAACAATTTTGGCGTATATGATTTCTTCTC